CAACAAATTGAAAGATATGTCCCTAAGGTGATTGTGAGATATGTCTTCTCTTAACAGCAAAAATTGCATTTATATACGTGGTCAAATCTAAAAGATACTTGTAACTTTAATAATTGTAGAGACGAGCAAAACATTCTATAATTACTTTACAGAATATTATCAAAAGCTCCGATCATAGCTGCCATCTTGTCCGGATTTTGAGAATTTGCTGCCCTGATCATGAAGATCTTTAAGTGTTTTTTTATCTATAGTTTGTGGTGGTTGCCTTTCTCATATTACAGGCCACCTAAAGTGCCAGTTATTTTTCGGATCAAAAACATACATTCAACAGCGTGTCCATCAAAATCGAAATTTATATTTATGTTTGTTATTTTCTTGTATTTTATCGAGTAAAGTTATATAGAGCTAGAGAAGAAACTTTTTTTGCCACTCTGCGCAGTAGAAAAAGGTTAAATAAGGCACTGAAAGTCGGTTTCCGTTTTATTTCCGCATTTTAGGACTATAATTTCGGATTTCTGACTTGTACAGGTGACAGCTCTGGCTCCGACTTACAATACAAACACTTTATCGTTCAAAAAATAAAACTGAAAAATAAAATTGACTAATTAATATATTTCAATTTTTCGTGTCTATAATTTTGAGCATAGGGTCACGGTGAGCTTTTAATTCTGTTCATGAATTAAATGAAGATCATACATTAAACATTATTTTATATAACATTACTTTTACGTCTTTTATTTTATTTCTACAAATAAATTTTTCTTGTTTGTACTTTTTAACAGAAATGATCATGTGTTTGCATCTACTGTACGTAAAAGTATCGGTATCATAGATAAGTACTTTTTCATTCAAAAGTATTACAGCGTCAATGTTACACAACACCATTAGAGAGCTTGCAAATAAGGGAATATCTTTTTTTGCACATGCATATCTTTCTGTTCTCTCGCGCTGATAGGAAAAAAATGTCCACACGTTGAATATCTTATATGGAAAGAGCTATCGCCTAGATTCCTATTGAATTAAAACCGAACAACTTAGCTTTGAACGAACAAAGAAAAATATCAAGATTTTTTGTTATACTTCAGAAAGAACGTATAATCAAAATGATATTTTTTTCATCCGCTATATTTTTAAATCGAACAAAGAATATACATTATCATTTGAATAAAATTTTGTGATTAAATATACTATATGATTTAGACAGAATGTCTTTTCAGTGTAAAACGATGCATAAAGTGAAAGCAATTACCGAAAAATTTTCAAAAATCTGGGGAACGTGCTGTGAAGAAAATTATCGTTTACAACATATAAATTTCTACGTCTAGTAGATAGATCATTCGTAAATAATTATTTTTTTCAATTTCCTAATGAAAGTTCTTGAGTCAACGAAATGACAAGATTATTCCTAGTGAAACTACTTGAATCAAGGTCTTATCATTTACTTCAAGATCTTCGAAATTCTTGGATCACCGTTTTTTTTGTTTTACGCTCTTGTTGATATATAAATGCGAATATTTAATTACATAGAATAACTTCGAATTCTTTTTGTTTTTTGAGCATAGTTGCTTAAAAAGAAGTCTATAATTATATATGGACCAGAGCTGCCAGATGATCCGCATTTTGCGGACAAATTCCTCTTTCTGTAGTTTTTTCTGCAAACTGCCCGCTTTTCGAAGTTTTTGTTTTTGTCCTTTTTTCTGTAATGAAGATTTTTACATTTTCTCATTAAAAAAAACGGCTGAATAATCTGTCAAAATGCTTTTCAAGCTTTTATAAGACAGATGCGCACTGTTTTGAGAACTAAATCAGAAATTTGCTCCGGGAGTGGGCGCTAACAGAAAAACACTAGCTTGTCTGAGGTGCTACTGAAAGGGTGTGCGAAAAAAAGTGAAATACTAAATCTTCAAGGAAGCCAACTCGGTCAGAAAATCTTAACCATTAAGTGCTGTCGTAGACGGAAAAGTTTCGAATTAAATTTTATACTGCTATGCCATAACTCTTGAAATGTAGGACGGCTGATAAAAAACGTGCATCTACAAAAAGTCGATATCCATTCAAATTGAGTTTTAAATGATGTTTTGTACTTCTGTTGTGTTTCTTAAGTGGAACACCATAAAGCGTAAGAAGTAAGAAGCAAAAGAGAAATTAATTTTTGGTTTTTTTGGAGATGATTCCGCCTCTCCGTTAACCTTGATGAAGCTGCATAGCTAATTCAGTTTTCCAGATCGAGCTGATCGTCGACTAGTGGTATGGCTATGATCATAAAAACAAAACATAAAGACAATTTTTTACCAGGGGCTTAAAACATGTTAAATAGATTCACTCAAGATCTTGACATTTCTATTCACCAGATTTTGGGTATAGGCAATTTTACTAGCGTTGATTGCAAGAATGTTCCAAGCTGTTTCCTTCTTGCCATCAAGAACTTCCATTAGGGTTTTATGCAGGATTTTGCACTTCTGGAAGTGAAATATATCTGGAAATAAACTACCGATATTTTATATTAATATTGAAACTGGATGATCATTTTTCTATGAAAATAGTCATCTTTGGAACGATGCGCGAATAATTATATGCAGAGGTGCAGAATCTACCCGTGAAATTGGGAAATTTCTCTCGACGGACAAAGTTTTTCAATAAATCCTCCGACATAATCTACGAACAGAGTTTCTTTTTGCAAAATATTTGCAAAAAGAAATTCCAACTTCGATATTTTATATTTTTCAAAAAATTTCGTCGGGGTATTTTCGTCGCATTTAGACTCTTAATTAATTGCTAGAATGAAAACACAAACTTGTGGAAGTCGCTCGCTCAGACACAAAATCTGCGGAGATGTAGTCTCCACCATTCTCATACTTCCGGTGCCTCTGCTCTGATACTACAAACCAAACGTATACAAAGTTCAGAGGATAAACTGTTTGACGTTATATGAATCATTCGCGCTTTTCTATTTCCTATGAATCACTTCATTGCCGATGGCGGTACTGAATTTTTTATTGCAAAGGAGCATAAAGTGAAATGTGGATAGACTAGATAAACTCCACTGTACTGCTGTATAACTTCAATGACTAAATAATGAAAAAAAATACATAATCTATTTGCAAATAAGCACATACCAAGAAGAACAAGAAAAATGCCCTGGTCTAGATTGTGCATCTTATATTGTATGCTTCAGATTTCAAAGTTCACATACACACGTGTTTCACAGAATAAGTACCAACACTAAATACTAAATAATTTTATTAGAGAGAGAAAAGAAAATTCATTTTAGCAATAACATGTAGCAAATGAGAGAGAGAGAGAGAAAGAATAAAACAAATAAAAACCGGAGGATATAAAACCGAGTTTTTACAGTATTCCAATTCACCATTGTTTAATAATAAAAATTAGGCATCACATTACTATTAAGGTATAACCTATTATTTCTATTTTCAACAAAATCCGTCCGCCACTACATACTTATTTAGAAAAGTTTGATTTGATTCTTCAAAATACAGACACGTAAAATATTTGTGATATGGTGAGCTTAAGTTTTCTTTAGAAGTGTAGCTGAGATGTAAACATAAAAGCAAACTGAGTTTTATTGATAGATGCGACGCATAATAAATGAGTGCTTGTTGTCAGATACAATAGATTATTCATGAGGCTAAATGGTATGAAGAATTTTCAAATTAACATCTGATGACACCCAGAAAGCATATCTTGAACTTTTTCATTTGTACGATACAGCGAAAAAGTGCTGAAAGCGAGAAAATTGTCTCAGAGAAACGAAAACTACCAGTCGAATAATCACCACAGTACTACAGCTAAACAGAGCTAGTTAACCATTAAGCATCTATGAACAGTAGTCCTCGGAGGCTGAGACTTTCCAGAAATATTTCGGAGTAGTTCGAGCGTGATTCGGTGAATGAAAGACAAGAATCAGTAGGACACATAGGAATTTCGGAGGACTTCAGAAAACTTTTGCACTACTGAGTCCAGTAAATCTTCAGGATATTTGCATGCGACTGAAAGTAACCGGTGGATGCGTGCTTAATACCTAAAGTCTTCTTCTGGTGTGTTGAGTAAAGGTCAATAATTTTTACAAGAGCCCACCGAAGGAAAATTCGAGTTTACTTCGTACTTGCGAAAGAAAATATTGAATAACAGACTGATATACTCATGAGCATAGCCCTGCTCAGTTTAAACCAGAGGACCGAGCAAAACGCAGAAGGGCTCTACCTAGTTATTTATAAGAGTTTTTGTGGGGAGAAATTGGAATTATTCTAGATGAACATTAACCAGAGAAATATGCATTGGTCACTAAGTAGCTGTGAATGAAATAGAGTCCATATGTCAGTGATAACATATCAGTGACGATTAGATAAAATCGAGAAAATTTTCCCAACGGTTCAATTCAATGTAACAAAAAACACAACAATAAAATACAACGACCTTTATTTCGAACACCCTTCAGACAATAAAACCGTAAGGAGAGTGAAAAATAGAATAAATATCTAGGCGTCGTTGCTGACGGTCATTATCATAGAAGAGATAACAGTATAAATAGAGCAGTATATATATATACGCGGGCGTCTAAACTCCGATTTTGTCCAATCTAGGATTGGCCTGCAATGTTTTAGGCCAATCTCAGTTTGGACTGAATAAGAGTTTGGACGCTAACATATATATATTTAAAAAATCATTTCGATTGTAAATAAAAGAAAAAACTGTGAGTATGTAAATGTTATGTTGGATAAGTAGACTTGATACTTTATTTTTTAATGTACAGCATAGTGATAGACGAATTTGTGTAGCTTTCGATGAGTGACGTGAAGTTTTGAATTTTTCAAATTAAATAAATTTTTTTGTTCATTTTTTGTTTATAAAAAACAAATTCTATCGATCAAAAGAATGCTTTTTACTTCATCTATTCTTTGTTTTGCTTCTAGATCTTCATTTCTCTCTCTACTTTTATCTTATTTTTTATTATTGTTCATTATTCTCCTCTCTCAATAAAAATGTCAACTGTTACACAAATCGCGGGTCAAAAAACTTATGCTACGGCAGGTGGAAACTCTGCTACAAGTCATACAGCTGTTGCTGATAATGTCCACGTTAAATCTGTCGTTAGTACTGAAACGCAATCGAAGGTTAGCATGGAAAATACAGCAAAAATGAGTCAGTTAATGGCTAGATTAGGTTCAACACATTCACAAATTGATGGTAAGCAAGACTATATTTTGCATCTAGTATATTTGTAAAATTATACGTTTATTACAGACTATTCTCGTAAACGAACTGAACAAATTAGTGAAGAGGTAGCAGCTTCTATAGCAAAAATTGTTGCCGAGACACAAATTCAACAACAAACGTTATTACAAGACGCTAATGTACGATCAGCTGAAATTGAACAAGAATATAAATTAAAATTACAACGGTATGTGTAGCGAATCTATTGAATTTTGCTAATGTCCTTTTTCGTTCTAGGTACGTTGAAGAGCTAGATGGTGCTAAAGCATTGAATTTATCAACATTAGAAAAAGATTTAACTTTACGTCAAAATCAAATATTGGATAATGCCCGACGACGTATTGATGATTTAAATGAAGAAGCAAACCGCTTGAAAATGGGAGTCTTAAAAGAAGCACAAGCTCAAGCAAATGCAAAAATTGAACTGATTACCGATCAAGTTGCTGCTTTAGGTCAAGAAGGTAAGATGATAGGCAGTTTTCTACACAACCGTGCGCTAAAGTCCTCTTTATCTTGATATTGTTATTCAAGAGATGAATGAATAGAAGGTGTTGATTTACGAAGCCTGTGATCTGTCAGTATAAAGATCGTTATACTTGCAAGATACCAAATAACTATAGCTCTCTACTAGTTAATTTCAGCCGAATGATTTTTTGACATGATATTTTTCTATCGTTATTAGATGCTAGTCGTCGGTTAGCTACGAAAACAACTACTGTCATAACAACACAAGCTAAATCAGCCAGTGCTCAACATATGGAAGCTGCTGTGGTTGGAGGTACTACTACAAAAACAACAACTGAAAGCAGCAGTCATACCAGTACTCATTCGGCAAAAAACCATTAGACTGAGATGTTGATTTCCTGATATTGCAACACAACAACAACACCGAATACAGACTCCAGATGTCACTTCTTTTTATGTCATATGCGTTTCCTATTGTTGACCTTTATTTTATTTAATCATTTTTTTGTCTTTCTGCGCTATTTCTGCTTAACTTCTGTGGCGCTTTTTTTATTCAAGCGATTTTCATTACGTGTCTCTTTTATGTTGGTGCGTTCTCAGATAAAGTTTTATAATCAAAAAGCTTTTACATTTCAACACATGTTCTTTCAAATTTTTCGCACATGTATTTATTTCATATTTTACTGCAAAAGCGTTTTAAATAAATTATTACACTTGTTGCGCAAAAAGCCCAAGTGTAAAGAAACAATGACATAATACCTAATCAGCTCCTACAGAAAGAGGACACAGATTCATTAATAGGGAAATTAGAAACGTTTTCTGTTTATACCTCTGAACATTTGTAACACGGGGATACAATGAAAAAGAATAACAAAACCATAGAAATGCTATTATAACAGCAGCTATTATTATTATAAGATTTTACTTTCGTTTATTAATTGAAATTAGAATTATTTCGATGTTTCAGACAACACAGTGTTTATTTTCAAGAACTCAAAATATAAAACCAAAAAACGCAGACAATAGCGCGGTTACGATTAAAGTTATTATCCGCTAACAAATTTAAAACAAAGAACCATCTTTATTTAGAAAATACATCTTAATATAAGCATGATAGTTCCAAAATAGCCAGTGTACCCACAACAGTGCGACCAATTCGTATGTTTTATTATCATACTGAAAATTTATCATACATACAGGAGCCTGTTTCTTAAAAAAGCTTTTTGCTTAAGTGAAAAATATGATTTAAGTAAGATCTTTTTGTAAGTCAGTTTCTTCAGCATCTTAACGTAAGGAACCTCTCGACCACCTGTAAGTTTTCACTCAAATTTTTAAGTGAAAAATTATTTATAATTTTGTAACTTTTTTATTTTCTGTTTTTTCGTGGTGAGACCCACAATAATTAAAGTAATTTTAGAGGGATTTTATTCAAAAATTTTCATGAAAATAACCTAAATTTGTTAAAATATGATTAGTTTTTACTGCATGATCTGTTTAACTTAACGTTTTTTGAGAAATGCACTTAAGGAGAAACTTAAGTGTCGCTTAAGTACTACTTAACATTTTCCGTAAAAGTCCACTTAAGCGAATTCTTAAAAACTTTTTTTGAGAAACAGGCTCCATAACTAATTTCTTAGACTTCAAGCAATCGAACTACCGTCACAATTCTGAAAGGATATCAACTATATTTTACGTCAATTCTTTAGAGGCTCTAAACTGCTACATTCAAAGTTCGTCAAAAACGACTAAATTTTGTCACGTTGTACTGCACAGCAGTCACCACCTTCTTGCTTCGTGTGCATCTACTAACAAAGAACAACGAAGAAAGTAGAAAATGTACGTACAGTCTATATATTTAAATTTTTCTTGCTTTTCTTTTTCAGCGAAAAGAAGCGGGCACGCGTCATACAAACAATGAGAAAGGTATATATGTGTGTGGAAGATGTGTGCGGTGAAGTTGTACACACGCACAGGCACACATTCTCTTACTGCCGTCCAGAATGTTATGTGTACGACGCAATCTAAAATATTTTCTCTCGTTTCTTCTCTATAAAAAACGAAATGTTGTCTATGCCATTCATTTTCTCCGCTCATACACCAACTAACTGCCACAACTCGTTTAACATTTCTGCGGAGACATTCTCAACTACATTGAATTGTTACAAATAAGCTAAACAATACAACTTTTATTCAAACTTTCTCTACAAATCTTTTTGAAAAGACCATTTGATATTTCCCAATGATGTTTATATAAACCCAGCTCGCTGTATATCAATGATGATATCGCACGTTGCAGTGCATTGCTGAGGGAAATAATCATGTGTGGTTTGTATATTGAGACTACCAATTACAAACAAAAGTGGTTTGTATATACTGAGCAAACAGCATAAGTAAAATATTGTATTGATCTGGTGTGAATTATGTTTACCTTGTACATTGATGGTCAATGAACAATTTTTAGCTTCAACAACCGCTATGTAATAACTATAACTTCAAATTTGATATAGTTAAAAGTTTATTCTACACAAACATTACGACTAAAAATAGGGAAAAAAAAAAGAGGAAATTTTTAATAGCATAACATTTTATGCACTATAGAAAAGGCCTTTATCACGGAATTTTATAGTTTTACGGTCATTTAACGTTAACACAATCTGATTCTCAAAGTATAAATAAGCTATTTTTTCTTATATTAACTACGTTCCATTTTTACCCTGTCTCGCAGCTATAGCTCGAGCCGAGGTCAAGCTTTTAGTAAAACCGACAGTTTAAAAATGCACAGGATTCAAATCTGGTGACGGGCGCTTCTCTATCAACGCCTCATCTGATCAATATGGCTCCTTTAGATGTTTGTTATATTATGTAGATGTACCCTTAACGCGGACGAAATTTTGTACGAGCTACGGTTCGGGAGATATAGCGGAAACAGTGTTTTTTTTCAGTAAATTGACCAGTCTATTGACCAGCGCACAAACGGTAATTAAACAATCGTCGATACATGATGATTGCTGTGCTATGTGATATAAAAGATATACCTAGAGAACTACTTCACCAGAAAACTGCACATTTCTGTGAGACAAGGACGGATCTACCAAGATCTTGTTTTATTACTTTCCCGAAAATAACGTAAAAGCTATCCATATATTCTGTAATTCTAAGCTGAACCAGTTTTCGCTAAATTTGAACGAACAACAGTACAGTAGCGATACACTATAACTGCAGGACAGAGTTCATAAAGGTCCCAAAATATGACATATTTTCTCTTTGATATAAATTAAAATAATAAGAATAAACAAGAGAAAAAAAAATCACACATCAGAAAAATTCATTTATTATTATCACATGGAGGTTCAGGAAGAGACTGGCACAATAGCGTTTCCAGTCTTATCATTATTTATGTCTAAATTCAAGTTTTCTAATGTGTCTATCACATTAGGAGTTGTTAGTGTTTCTGTTGTGGTATTGGAAGTTGCTTCATCATCCGTTGTTGTTGTAGTCACATTTTCATCTTTCACAACTGTATCATCAGGTTGTGTTGGTTGCTGCTTTTCTCTAGACAATAAAAACCGTTAGATGAGAATTTTTTGAATAATCGTGGAGAAACATTAAAAAAAACCCTGAGATAATTCGTGACAAATTTTAGAACACAATATCGAAAGGACACTGGCGATTTTTAAAATTTCAAGTGATTTTCTATTACAGGGTAAGACAGATTTATAAGGCGCATCTGACTGTATGCTTTCTAGGACTTCGCGCTGTATGATTCTTGTAAAAACTAAAAAGTTTGGGCACTGGATACCTATGTGTGTGATACCCGTGTAGTAAAAAAATCTTTTCTCAATGACTTCTACTTTTTTGATAAACGCATTTTACCGTTGG